CACGCAAGTAGTAAGGAGGGGGGGAGACGCACTCTCCATAAACAGACATGTTCTACATATATCAAAAACGAAGCTACAAAATGGCACAATCTACGATCGATTCCGAAGGGCTACAGCTCGCCGAGCTCACTCCCCGTCCCGTCAGTAAGAAATGACCACGCGTAAGGCTCATCCGCCCTTGCTCGATCCAATTCATCAGAAAGAACATTATCATCATCGACTCCAACCATAGTTCTTTGGTAGAGGATTGCCCAACCTTTTCTAACTTCTCGGTGAGATTTCTTTCCTTCCTCAGCTGTCGTAGTTGTTTTTCTATCTTGGGCTCATATGGTTGCACTTCTTTCGCAGAAGCTCGAGTCATGAACCAATCTTAACCCGTAACCTGCGCACAATTAACGAACATCAAACGTAAAAAGAGAAAAATGAAAATAAAAAGAAAAAGAATTCCTGAATTAGCATTACAAACTATTTCAAAAACTATTGATTGCCAATCCCCGGCAACGCCAAAATTTGACGAGCGCTAAATACACACTTAAATATGCTCGCTAGTCGAATATAGTATAATATAATATCGTATCCATAAGGATTGGATTTACACAACGTTCTTGTAGTTTCTAGCTGGGTTGCTATCCAAGATGATCAACAATTGAGATTTATATGATTAATAACTAAAATTAACTAAGAATCTAAAGTTATTGACAAATGACAATCGACTCAAGTAATAAACAAACAAGGTTGTCACTGGGAGAAGATAGGGTTTTGATAGGATAGGTGTAAGATAATTGTTTGGGATCTAACTCTAGATAATTCACTTCTAATGTTTAAGTGAGTCTCTCGAATTCACTCAATTATTAGTTCAAATGTTTAGTATAAACTCCTATCTCAATTAAGTCTCAACCTCACAAGATGAACCAATTTAACCTCTGTGAAGATATGCATGAATTCGCAGTGGATTGGTCTTTAAGAAAACCTCTCTCGATTATCCTCCTAACTAGGTTTAATCAAACAATTCAACTACCCTCTTTCGATTACTAAGAAGAATTATTGAACTCAACCACCAATATAATGCAAAGATATCACAAGTTATGCCTCTCTCGATTACATGAACAAGTGAATATAGATGCAACAATTAAATCATCCAAAACGATTCAATACATAAAACTAGAGTAATAATCCACAAACAATCATCAATACACCAAATCCATCAAACCCTAAAGGAAACTACTCCATAGACATGGAGCAATTCATCACAAATATAATTAAAGTATAGGAAAGCATAAATCTAATCCAAACTCGGGTCTTGAGTGAGGAAGGAATGATGAAATCCTTGTGCTCGTGTTCTTCCAACTCCTCCTTAGCTTCCTTAGGTCTAAAGTATGTCAAAATTCTAGAAAATAAGGTTTTCCATGTATTTATACCAAGTAGGTTCGGGCCGAGATGAAAACACCTTTTCTTAGCTGAAATAGGAAAATTACTCTGTAAAAAATACACAGGCGCGCTGCATGGGGCGACGCGCCATGCGGGGCATAAGTGGGGATTATCAGGGGCATGCACAATTCATCAGGCAGCAAAAATACACTGCTGCATCGCACTATGCCTCAGGCCCTGCGTCGCGCTAGTGAAAATTTCTCAGAGTACGGCCCAAATCTTACGTTTTGACGTACAAAATTGGTCCTCGACCCGCGAACACAATCTCGGTTTAATCCATTGGGATTTTACTCAGACTTCAAAGCTCCAAATAGCTTGAATTAGCTCCACAACATCTACATAGCTCAGAATTATCCCTACAAGGCATAAAACACACAATAAATACAAAATACTAGCGATTAAAGCTCAAACAAAATTAAAGTGCAGTAAATTAGAGTGTAATAAGCGACTAAAATACGTAATTATAGACTACCATCATTAGGCTCCATTACGCCTTGATTGGTTGAGATTTTGGGTCGTGACAGAATAGGTGTGAAAGCACCAGAAACCCCTGAGTATGAACCAGGTCCTTCTCTTGCTAGTGAAGGCTTGGAAAGCAAAGAAAAGAGAGTGGAATAAGTAAAGATCTTGGTTGAGGAGACAGAGGAAGATGCTAAAGAAAAGTTACCGGAGAACAAAGAACCTGGTTTTCTAGAATCTGACAAGGAAATATCCTCTTCACTTGGGACATAATTTACTGATATTGATGGGGAGACCACATGGGAGAAACTAAAGTGAACAAGGAAGAGAGTGGTGATAATGATGAACTAGCATAAAGAATTAGCCAGTTAAAAAAGGCGACTGTTGATGAAGGAGTAAAACCTTCTGGGAGAGCCAAACATATTACCCGAAAGACTGTGAGACAAAGAAAAATTGAAGTTCTCAAGGCTAGGACTCCAAACACCAGGGGGAAAAGCCAGGATACTCTTGAACCCATTCTCCAAGAGAATAAGAAGAAGAGGAGGTTGATTTAGTGAGTGAGGAAGAATAAGAAGAAGAGGAGGTTCCTCTTGAAAGAAAAGAAAAGGAGAAGGATGGAACATCCGCAGCCGCTCCTAAAAAAAAGAGGACCTCAAAGAAGAGAATGAGACTAATTCTAAGGTTAAGGAAACCAGCTTCAACTGCCGAAAGAAAATTGCAATGAGGATTTCTTTGGTTGGCAAGGAGTTATGGTTCAATGAGTTGATGATGCTGAAAGGTAAGGTGATAGACCTTATAATTTCTGAACAATTTGGGATGAAGGAGCTTTTGGAGAAGCTTGAGCATCAAAAGTGGAAACACATGTTCTTGTGCCCACACCCTATGATGTATGGAGAAGCTATGTTAGATTTCTACTCAAAGTTCAATATGCTAGAAGATGACACAATGAGTACTGTGGTGAGGGGAGTGGACCTGGTCTTTAACACTTATACCCTAGGAGAAATCTTGAGGGTTTCTATGGATGGGTTTGATACCTATATTCAACGTGAGTGTCTCTATGTTGGAGAGAATGAGGATGAGGTGTATCTGACTACAAAATACACTCAGGGGAAGGAAGAGGAGAAACCCATAAAGGTGGGAAAAGGGAAAATAAAACCGTTTCACAAACTCCTGTTTGAGTTTGTAAACAAGTGTATGTTGCCCCAACCTGAAATAAGGCATGAAGCCACTTATTTAGACCTAGCAGTGATGGAAGCTCTAAACCAAGGTAGACTGCTCAACTTGCCCTCTTCAATCCAAGAGTAGCTGATCAATCAAAGGGTCCACATGTTTTACCTTACGGTTTTGCTTAGTAATATGTTTGAGCATTTCAAGATTCCCTTACGCGGAGGAAAGAAATGGACAAAGAAGGATATGTTTGAAAAAGAGACTTTGAGGGAATATGACAATATTGCAAGGAAATCAAGTACAAAGTGTAAGATCATGGTCACTACTTTGTTGGAGGAATTGACTGCTGCTAATGAAGAAAAGGAGAAGCTACATGCTGAAATTGCCTCCTTGAAAGAAGAAAATAGGTAGCTGAGGGAGAAGATTAAGCAAGAGCAAATTATTGTTGATGCACGCTTTGACAATCTCTTGGGGTTTACTCGTGGAGAATTCTCTTCCGCCAAAGAACCTCGTCCTCCGTCCTCTTAGTCTTTTTATGTCCAATCTCTAGGTAGTGTGTTCCCAGTACCTTCTAAAATTAGTTTCTGGATAGTTTATTCGAATTTTTTGTGAATGTACCAGTTTGATGGGTTTTTAAACCCATCTTTTGTTTGGGCCCTTTGAGCTTAATGTGATACAAAGTTTAATTAACTGAATATAATTTCTGATTTATGGCATAATGTATCTCTTAAAGATGGATAATTTCTTAAGATTAAACATCTGAGCTCTTGAAATTGTGTGCATGTTAGTGTAGTCCGAGTGGTCATAGGTCTGTATTATATCTCACTTTTTGACTCTATTGACACTTTACTTTTTTCGATGATGCCAAAAGGGGGAAAAGAGATGTGCACATAGACTGATCAATGAACCTAGTCCTGAGGCACTTTAACTGTTAAATGTGAAATTATAATAAAGGATGGGGATGTCTGTTTTTTGCAGGATTGAAAGTGTTAAACCAACCTTCTTATGCATGTCGAGCCATCTATAGGGCTGCAAAGACGAATAATCTAAAGAAAGTGTTGACAATGAAACTCGTTTTTAAGTTGTAGACCGTAGAAAAATTATTCAAACAGTAGGGTAATTTGCACATGAATTTGTCATCGTCAAAGAGGAAAAATTTATTGAGTTGAGCATGTTTAGCATAAATTAAGTGGAAATCTTATTTCGGCCAATCTCACACCTATATAATGAGTCTTATTGATGCGGTTCAAGACTTATGCTATTCACATAGTTTCAAGGAATTACTCTTGGCAACAGCAAGCTTAAGTAAGAAGGTGCCCTTACAGACTCAAACTGCTCAATGAAGGAACCAGTTCTCAAAGAAAAAGCTACTTAGTTATTTGGTTGTTAGGTTGAGTCTTTGTTCGAGAATTGTAGCCTATTTGCGTTTAAAGAAGTGTATTCATATGTTAGCATAAACTTTGAGTTTTTATTTCGCTTTCTAGATTAGAGTTAGTTTAGAAAGGCGTAGCTACAATTGAGTTGATTGTCGGAGAACGGTACTAGAGTTAACCCCTTAGCTATTAAGTTGTAACCTAAAACTACTTTTGAAGTTAGTGAAGTTTTGAGGGCAAATCTTACGCGGATAGCTAGGTCGTGATTTTTACTCCCTTGAGCAAGAAATTTTTTCATATAAAATTTTTGTGTTCTTTAGGTCGCACTTCCCTAGTTGTTTCTGTCTGGAAACGTCAAATAACCAGGTTCTTTAATTCGTGAAAATCCCGCAGGAGGATGAGGATAGCCCACTATCCACCCGTAGGTTTACTATTTTCTTCTAACACCTACCTGTACGATTTCTTCCAGCAACTATATATACAGTGTGTGTATCGTACAATTTGTTTTTGTCATGTGGTTATTTTTACATGTGTCTGCGTGTGTAAATTGTAGCCACGAAAGGAGTGCTGGTACTTACCAATAAACAGGCATGTCATGCAATGTTTCTAATTATGACCAAATTGATTGAAGGCTATAATTAACAAAGGTGCAGGTCCTCAAATTCTTTATCCTTTCAATTTCTCACTATTATATGTCGACAATTGATCTCCTATTGTTTGTTCGAATCCAAATTTTTTTTTTTTTTTTTTTTGTAGTTTTCTTCTAGCATAGAAGAACACAACTGAATCGCTGATAATCTTCTACGGAAAGTATGTAAGCAATTCACCAATTTCTTTATCTCGCTTTTCAAGCTAGGCATTATTTTTCTGTCACCAAAAATACGGCCACGAATAGTAAATGAGACTAACAGTTATGGTTGGTCGTTTTTGGTTGAAATAAATAATGCTCAACTTCTACAAAATGTCTTTTAATAAAAATAAAAATTACAAAGTATTTTAAGTCATAATTATATTTCTTTGCTTATCTCTTTATTAGTTTCAAACTTTTTCCTACAATTGAAAAACCCTCTTAACTCCATTGAATGTTAAGCTTCTTCACTCTTGTCCTTAAGCTCTAAATGGATAATATGTACGTGCACTAGCACTACGTTTCTAGTACTTTACCAATAACGAAAGAAACAACAAGAGTTGAAAAGAAGAGATATAGTACGATGTCAGACGCAAAAATAGGTTATTGAAATGAATACGAAACAGCTTATAAAAACAAAGTATTCCAATGACACAAAGAAAAGAACAAACAGGGAGGACATAGACCCATTAAACCCAACATTCAATTTTATCATCTTACATTTAATTTCGAGCAAAATACATCAGCGGCTATTAATTCTATGATAAATAGTTAGTCCTTTTTTATTTGGTAAGATATATTATTGAAAACTTTTTAATTAGTAAACAGTGCAAACTTTCTCATTGAATAGAGCTTCAAAGTTTCAGAACTTAATTTTGCAGCAATGACTCCCAACGCCCAAGTGAGGATGGAAATTGGAAACGATGACATTGCTGTTATCAGTATTTGCAATCCTCCAGTTAATGCATTGACAGTTTCAGGTAGTTACTTAATATTGTTTTTCCAAGATTTTATATGCAATCTTTTAATAATAGTTTTTTTTTCTCAAACTTAGATATGTTGTATTCTCCCAAAAAATTCTCTCAATAATCACTTCATTTTATCTGAAATTAATCCAGTGTGCAACTTTATTTGAGGTATAATGACCCTTGCATATGTATGTTACTATGACTAGAAGTTTTATTATAACTCATGACGGCCTTTTTCAATATAACTATATAAATTCAGTCGCTAAATTAATTCTACTCCAAAAATATTTTTCACTTTTTTCCTTTACTTTATTCAATTTATAGTACAAATTGACTAACATTTTAAGATATATTCTCTGGCTGTTTTGATATGATGAAAATTGCAATTGACATTATTTATCTTGTAGTGTGTAAAATTTTAAAAATTTTACTTAACAAGAATAAATACAGACGTCTTAACTTCAAAAATTGATCAGACTATAACTCTTGATATGAAAATCGTAAAAAAATTTATATACTAACTCGCGTTTATTGTTTACACCATGCTAAAAAATATTTGATGCTAAGTGAAACAACTTATGCTCGGACAATTGAGGATGACTCTACTTGACCAGGCCGTGCACGTGCGCATATACACACTTATTTTTTCCTCAAAGACACACATAAACACTTACTTGAGTTGAGCCTTTAATTAGTTTCATTTTCTTCGATTCAAATTTGCCAAGTGCACTAACTTTCAAATGATCAATGAAAACAGTGATAGCTGGCTTAAAAGAACAATATCAAGAGGCAATAAAACGAAGCGATGTCAAAGCTATTGTTTTGACTGGTAAGTGTTTTTTTAAAAGATCAATCACATAAAAGTTTTGATTATCCTTAATTTATATATCGAAATTAGTTTTTCTTCCTATTCTGCATATGTATTTAAGATGGAATGAAATCCTTCGTGACAAGATTTTGCATAATATTTAAGAAATAATTAATTATGAATGTAATTTGACTAATCTACCCGTTATTAATCTTTGTCTATTTATATGCCTCTTAATTCTAGAATAATTAATTGTAAGGGCATAGTTGAAAAAATAATTAATTCTCTCTTGATTTTTTAAATTGACAATTGTATAGAAACAATTATTTTTAGTATACAAGACAACTAACGGAGGGATTAATTGCATATATAAATTCAGCTTAGGTGCAAAAGGAGAGAACAATAAATAAAAAAAACGATGGCCCTAGTCCCTACAATGTTTTAAGCTACAAGATGGGGAAAATAGGTTCTGAATTCCCAATACTTATGTGGCCATAGTCGGAAATTCTCCTTCTCTCGCCATATCCCCATAGGGTTGGTGTTTCAATAAAGTGCAATTAGTATATAGCACATAGGTAGTTAATTATTTTTAAAGAAGATAAGCCACTAAATTCTAAACATACTAGGGATGACAAACTAGTCAGGAAATTGCACCGGTTGTCCCATAGCTTTAAATATTATCGTCATTTTTTACTTTATTACAAAAATAGGCTTCTGCTTTACCAAGAACACTGCAGTTCTTCAATATTATAAGTTTTAACTTCTTATTTAGGAGTAAAAAGTAAAAGTTAATAATCAATTTTTGTTAAAATTATTTGAATTTTGATAATTTATACTTAAATTTTTGTTCAAACACAGATTTAGCGATTTACTTTAAAAATTTTAAAACTCCGTATTGGTCCTTAAAGAGTGTTGAAGAAGACGAAGTAAATCTTCTTAATTTGTTGTTATTTGACCAGATTGATAATTGAGGATCATTTGTGTTGGTATTTGAAGGGTTTGTTTCAAATTTGAGATTATTTGAAATAGATTTTGAGCGGTTTAATTGAATTTGCAATTCGAAGTACGCTTTGTTGAACAAAACAAAAAAGTTATGCCGGTGAACAATTTAACATAACGTCAATTGCAAACAACACAAAGTCATGCAAATCTGGTAGAGTTTAGTGAACAATTAAACAAGCACAAAATCATACCAACTGAGTAGAGCTTGTGAACAATCTAACAAATAGGTCGGATGTAGTTAATACAAAGTCATGCCAACATGGTAGAGTTTGGTGTACAATTGAACTATCAGAAAGTCATGTCAATCGGGTAGAGTTTGTTAACAATTAACAATATAGATAATCTATCAATTCGGTAGAAAAATCCCGACAAGCAATAAGTGTATGTAGGATAGAGGGTCATTTTCTAAGTACTTTAAATATAGATAATATTTAAAGACCAACCCTGTCACTACCCGGATTTCCCACCCTCGGGAGTCGTGATGGCGCCTACTATTAGGAGCTAGGCAAGCCAACTATTTATTATCTCTTTTAGCAAACCTCGACATTAATAAAAACAACGAAGCATTTAATATAAAAGCGGAAGTCTTAAACATAAATAAACGGAGAACAATGCGGAAGTTCAATACAACTTTGCCCAAGAACTGGAGTCACTAACTCACGAACGTCTATAGAATACTAAAAACGGAGTCTGAATAAGATACAATACTGTTTGTTCCGGTACAAGGACAACAAACGAAATAAGGATAGAAGAGACTCCGGGCCATGCGGACGTCAAAAAGGCTACCTCGAAATCTCAGGACTGAAGTCAGCTCCCAGATGCTCCTACTACTGTCCAAAAGCTGCTGCTCCGGTACTGTGATCTCGTGCAAAAAGATGCACAGAGTGTAGCATCAGCACAACTGACCCCATGTACTGGTAAGTGCCTAGCCTAACCCCGACGAAGTAGTGACGAGGCTAGACCAGACTACCAGATATATATATATATATATATATATATATATATATATATATATATATATATATATATATATATATATATATACAAGTACAATAAAATAATAGCAGAAAGTAAGCAATTAAAACTGGGAGGGGGGAAACATGCTTATGGGGAAGCAGATAAACGGAATATCAGGAATAACAAGAGAAACTACATCTGATTTCTTCTAACACAGAATAAAGGAAAAACAACCCACTTTCACTTATTTCAATTTCCTCTCATTGCAGGCGTGCAACACGATCCCATTTCCTTACATCACGTGGTAGGCGTACCACACGCTCCCATTACAATAATATCACGTGGTCGGCGTGCCACACGTTCACATTTCATAATAACTCGTGGTCGGCGTGACACACGATCCCATTTCATAATATCTCGCGGTCGGCGTGCCACACGATCCCATTTCATAAATCTCGTGGTCGGCGTGCCACACGATCCCATTTCTTTCAACACAATACACAAAATAATCCCGGCAAGGGAGGAAGATATTAGAATAAACTATCCCGACAAGGGAACAAGGTAATATAATAAACTATTCCAGCAAGGGAGGTCCAGCTATAACCAAACTTATTCAATTTCTACTCAACACAATTAAATCAATACTCAGTCTCAACAATTACCGGCTCAGTGTTAAAGATTTTTAACCAAGTCCTCATAAACAACAATTAAGAATTCGATAAATTAGCAATTTAGGACTCACGGTCATGCTCGACACCAGTGTATAGATACTCGTCACCATGCCTATACACCGTACTCGACAAATAGCAATTAGCAAATAAGACTCTACTCCTATTCCCTCTAGCCAAAGTTAGACCAAACACTTACCTCAACTTCCACGGCTAAATCAATCCACAACGACCGCTTTTCCTTTTGAATTCGGCTCCAACTCAATCAAATCTATGAAATAACGACTTTATAGTATCAATAATAGCTAATCAAATCAAACCCAATGCCTAAATATAGATTCCCAACCTTTCTTCCAAAAATTCCAAAATCAACCCCGGGCCCGCTTGGTCAATACACGAGGTTCGGACCAATTCCATATCACCCATTCACCCACGAGCCCGAATATATAATTTGTTTTCAAATTCGACCCCAAAACGAGGTCTAAATCAAAGAAAATAGAAAAGCCCTAACTCTACCCATTTCCCCCAATTTCAACCCTAGATTACATGTTTTAGGCCTAGGATTTCAATGGATGATGATAGAAAATGAGGAAAACGAGTTATATAATACTTACCCAAGAATATTTGGTGAAGAATCGCTCTACAAGTCGCCTAGGGGCTGTGGAGAAGAAGAGCTCGTGTGAAGTTTGGAATAATCCCGTCACTGTTCTGTTTTTAGGCTTTTAAAATAACAGGGCAAAAATGCCCTATGCGATCGCAGAAGAGGGGATGCGATCGCATAGGGTCAGGTTGGATGTGCTTTGCGATCGCAGAAGACAAATTGCGATCGCATAGAATAGAATAAAAGGGGGGGCTGAACTTTGTACAATGCGATCGCGGAGGCTATAATGCGATCGCATAGAAGGGTTTCTGGGCCTTGGCAATTTGCTCTATGCGATCGCGGCCTATCCTATGCGATCGCATAGAAGGAAAAACTGGGCAACTGACAGCAGCAAATTCTGCTGCATTTTCAAAGATCAAAACACCCCGAACCACCTCCGAAACACTCCCGAGCCCTCGGGGCTCCTAACCAAACACACACACTAACTCAACAACATCCTACGAACTTAACAATGCGATCAAATCGCCAAAATAACATCAAAATCAATGAATCAAACCCCAAAATCATCACTTTTCATTCTAACTTCTTAAACTTCAAATTTTAGATATTTAGGTCCGAAACACGTCAAACGACGTCCGATTTCAACCAAATTTCACAGAAAGCGCTTAAACCACATGTAAGACCTGTACCGGGCGCCGGAACCAAAATACGGTCCCGATACCAATACTTTCTAATCCATTTTCATTTCAAATTTTCATATTCATTTCAGAAAAATAATTTCTTTCAAAAATTCATTTCTCGGGCTCGGGACCTCGAATTTCGATTCCGGGCATACGCCCGAGTCCCATATTTTTCTCCGGACCCTCCGGGACCGTCCAATCGCGGGTCCGGGTCCATTTACCCAAAATGTTGACCAAAGTCAACTTTATTCATATTAATATCAAAATTCATCAATTTTTACACAGAATTCATATTTAAGCTTTCCGGACTGCGCACGCAAATCAAGGCAAGCCTAAATGAGGTTTTCAAGGCCTCGGAGACACAGAATGAATGAGAAAATGGGTGATGACCCCTTTGGGTCGTCACAAACCCCTTATAGGGCTATTCCTGTCAATAGCTCGTTAAAATATAACCCACACAATTCAATCCAAATTTAGCAAAAAGCTTCCCATATTTTCATGTCGGGTCAATTCGGACAAAGCTCAAGTCGTCCATCTAAAAGTTTGGCTGATTTGAGTTAATATAGAGCCAAAATTATTCATAAAAATAAGAAATTTCATCCTACGTCCTCCCTTAAGGGCTAATATTTAACTTTTGCCATGTTAAAAAAAGTTTAGCAAATATTAATATCCATAAGAAATTGTCCTCCTCCTCCTCCTCCTCCTCCTCCTCCTCCTCCTCCTCCTCCTCCTCCTTCATACGTGTTTTATAGAAAATTGAAGACCCTTAGCTTATTTATGGTTGGTTTTGTTGAAGAACTTGAAAAATATCATTGTTAGATTTTGGAGTCCATTACTCAAATTGTCACTCAACTATCCTAAATTATTTTCTAAAGTCACTTTTCTTTCGTTTGTAACAACAAAGCCACTAAACTATGCCTATTGCACTCAGAAAGTTACTCAACTAGATTTTCCAAATTTTGGATTGCTAAATACCTATTTTACCCTCTAAATTATAAATATTTATCTTCTTATTATTTTGTTAAAAACTTTTTAATATCATGATTTTTCCCTTTGTAATTTACATTATAGACTTACCTATAGAATAAATAAATAATATTTATAAATTAAAAA